ATTTTTTAAATACTAAATAAAAACAAATTACACCTAAATTGTAATATTTAAATGTGTGTAGGAATAATATATTATTATTATTATTTAGGTTTAATTTCTTCTTAGTTTTATTTCCCCCCCTGTTGGTAATTAAACTTATTTCGTTAGTTGCAAAGGCAAGATTTCTAGTTTTCATTTCAGTTTACATCTATCATTTCTATTTATTTCAGCTTTATTGCAATTAACAATTTATGTATATAGTTTTAATGACACTAATGCATTGGCATTTTGAGCTCTGCACAGTTTTATTGATATATTAAATGATGATCCTGATCTGCAGATGACGGCAGAACGAAGCCGGTCCCCAGAAAAGGTGTGTGTGTGTGTGTGTGTGAGTGTGTGTGTGTTCTTACTCAAGCTCAAGACTGATTGACTCAGAGTCAGATTACTCTGTTACTGTCACTACAACATACTTTGAGGCTGAAGTGTGTAATATCTCAATTTCAGAAATTGCCAATATATAAATTGATTAAAAAAAAATTTGTTCATTAATTACATGTTCCCATTCATTCATTCAACTATTATTTATGTATGTATTTATTTATTTTTATATTTATTTTCCCCATGTATTTATTTCCATATTTAAATATAACCACATTTATTTCAACAGTTGTTTATTGTTGTATTTATCCTTATATGCTTACTCATATTTTTCTCTCCCATTTGTTTATTATTTTCTGTATTCCTTTTTACATTTTTATTCTCTATTTTAGATTGTTTTTAATTTAGGATTATTTCATTTTTTTAAAAATATTTTTTATAGAAATGTTAAATGGTTAGAATTTTTTTTGATGGCATTTATCACATTTCCTGTTACTTCAGTTTTCATGTTTTATTGTTTTCACATTCATAAAGTGACATTTGCTTTCGGAAGTAGCTGGATATTATTTAACATCTGTTTTAATGTGTCTTTCAGGTCAGCACCAAAGAAGTAATTAAGTTTCAAATGGTGAGCTGTTATATTACTTTATCATTTAAGACTCGAACCTCAGACCTTTTGGTCACAAGTCCGACTCTCTAACCATCACGCCACGACTTTCCCCAAATCACATCCAATACACTGGATATTGTGTTATTTACATGAGTCTGTATTTATTGTCCCTCATATCAGTGTATTGTCTGTTTCACAGGCGTATTCGAACTTGTTGCGAGCGCACATGGACGGCTTGAAAAAGAAAGACAAAAAGAGTAAAAGCAAGAAAACTAAAGCCACGCAGTGATGGACGGTAACAGAGAGGTCTATGCCACCTTCCCATCAGCCCCTGCGTCTGAAAACCTGCCAACCTTCCTCTTCTGCTGATCCACGACCAAACAAACCAAGCACGCAGAGCTCCATTTACTACAACATACTAGGCTTAATGAGCGTTTTGAGTTCTGTGGGTGAAGATTGTGTTGGTCCCGAATCCATCACTTTATATTTCAAGCCGTATTTTGATTTTTTTATATGGTGAGTGAACGTTACAGTCAGTAACAGTTGTTCAGTTCTTTTTTTTTATTGAATGAGATGATTTTAAGTTTGAAAGATGCCCTTTGTTGATTGGCTTGTTGGACGTTTTTGAGGTCTAACAGTGGAGTTTTTATATTTGAACATAACAAAACCACCTTTGTAGATTTGCAAATAAAAGATAACGTTTATTCACTGATTTCATCATGAGAAAATCCCAAAGACGTTTGGACTGGGAATCACGATCTTGTGCAGGTAACATCTTCAGAAGAGACATGAAGCTTGTGTACTGTAAAAAATGAAGCGTTGAAATAAATACAGTATGTACACGTCAGGTGTGAGAAATTAAATGGCCGTGTTTCTCTTGTCCGGTCGCTGTTTGCTGGAGGTCAGCGTGTGGCTGCGTCTGCTCCGCTCTTCTTCCAGATAACCGTCCTCCATGATCGCCGTCACGTACTGGAACAGCGTCTGAGAGGATAACACAGATCACACATGGACAGTACATCCAGAAAATGTCTAAATATTCACTAACTTTAAAAAGGTTACGTAGGCTAAAACGAGTCGTTTTAATTGCATGAAATATTTCATGAGCATAAAGGAACGTTCAACGAAGTGCTAAAACTAATAGACATATAAAATAAAACACACCAAAAAAATACTAGAACCTTAACATGAAAACAGATGATAAGAAAATCAAATTCAAAATATTAACAAAAACTGTAATAGTAAATCAAAGAAACTAAAACGACGGGAAAATGCGAAATATTTCGGGACTAAAGACAAATGACCAAAATAAATATTCTGGGTTAAACGCGTTTGTGTAATGGAGTGAAATACCTTTTCAGAAACTTGACTTGGAAAAAAAAAGAAGTTTATATATATATATGTACATATGTGACCCTGCAGCACAAAAGCAGTGTTAAGTCGCTGGGGTATATTTGTAGCAATAGCCAACAATACATTGTATGGGTCAAAATTATACATTTTTCTTTTATGCCAAAAATCATTAGGATATTAAGTAAAGATCATGTTCCATGAAGATATTTTGTAAATTTCCTACCGTAAATATATCAAAACTTAATGTTTGATTAGTAATATGCATCGCTAAGAACTTAATTTGGACAACTTTAAAGATGATTTTCTCAATATTAGATTTTTTTGCACCCTCAGATTCCAGAATTTCGAATAGTTGTATTTCGGCCAATTATTGTCATATCCTAACCCCTGCAGCACAAAAGCAGTGTTAAGTCGCTGGGGTATATTTGTAGCAATAGCCAACAATACATTGTATGGGTCAAAATTATTGATTTTTCTTTTATGCCAAAAATCATTAGGATATTAAGTAAAGATCATGTTCCATGAAGATATTTTGTAAATCTCCTACCGTAAATATATCAAAACTTAATTTTTGATTAGTAATATGCATTGCTAAGAACTTCATTTGAACAACTTTAAAGATGATTTTCTCAATATTTAGATTTTTTTGCACCCTCAGATTCCAGAATCTCGACCAAATATTGTTCTATCCTAACAAATTCATTTGTATACATATTCGGCTTTCAGATGATGCATAAATCTCAATTTCGAGAAATTTACACTTATGACTGGTTTTGTGCTCCAGGGTCACACACACACACACACACACACACACGCTGTAGTGATAATGACAGCATAACTTGTATTTAACCTGGAATATTCCTTTAAACCTCACGCTACCGATACAATAATTGTTCATAGTGCTACTAAGCACTCAGAAAGTATTCAATACTAACTTTGTAATTTTTTATTACAAAAGCCTAAAGCATTTCACAAATTTAAAAATAGTGTGGTCTAATAATACAGTGTGAGTTTCAGTAGACTGACAACAGCTCATCTGCATTAAAGAGACACAACAACAGCATGCTTTTGCTTCCATCCAAAAATATGGGCATTTACAGTATGGTGTAATAAATAAGGTATTTTCACAGATACATCCTGAGGACACGAGACATTGCATCTTGTATAAAAAATAAAAAATAAAAAAAAAAGGGCATGATAAGAATTAAGAATAAAATTCTTTGTGGTTTTTGTCTTATATTATAATAGAAAAAAGCAAAGTCTGTTATATTACCAAAATATTACTTGAGAATGTCCTTATTTTTTTTTCTTGCGATAAGACAAAACCTAGGAAAATTCTTGTGCTCTTAAAAATCGTAGAAATCATAACATTAGAATTACCTCCATCTCGTTTTAAATCCCCAAAGTGAACATGTTTATTTTATTGGGTCATTTCTAATATTAAGCATTACAACAAAACACTAACTACATATAATACACAAGTCATTAAATGAAAAAAAAAAACTCAGAAAATGATTGAAGTATCTGCTATTTTTTGAAAAAAGTTACTAGATGGACGTATATTAAGAATTAAAGTTTATGTAACTGAAACAAACTTGAAATAATACAAACATCAGCTTAAACTATAAAAACATTTTATTTCAGCTAGTTGCCAACATTTCTCATTTTCATTTAGTTTAACGAAGTACTAAGCAAAATCTATAAAAAAAACGTAAAAAAGCTAATAAAATGGACATAAAATGCAAACAAAAAATAAAAACGAATTCATTATTAAAATAATTGAAACATTATTACTACAAAATATAATAGCATAACAATGCTACTAAAATAACAATCAGACAAGAGCAAAGAATGTCTTTTTATTCTAAAGAAAATAAGTTGTTGACATTAAGACAATATTTGAGAATATGAATTTAAACACACTTTCTTAAGAGCTTTTGTTGAGACCAGACGAGCTCCAGATGAAGCTGCGGTGAGGAAAGAAGCTTGAGAACTAACTCAACACTTACTCGTGATGCAAAAGACAAAGCCACGAGAGAACCGAGACAGAAATGAGGAAGAGTGAGGAAGAGTCCAGACATCATCAGAACTGCAGGTGGAGTGTGTGTTTTATTACCTGCCAGGCCTGCTCCAGTTCAGGAGTCCATCTGTCCTTCAGAACCGGCCGAACAGCGCAGATGAACTCGGCTCCCACATACTGAAACACAACCACACTTACTACAGCTAATGACAAACGGTTACACTTTACTTGAAGGGGTGTGCATAAGACTGACATGACACCTTCATAATCATGACATGACACGTCATGAATATGAAGGTTTTTTATGCATGTTTATGACAACTGTCATTAAGTGTCATTCGCTCAGTTATGTAATTTTTAATGCAAAGATGACATTGTCTGAGATGTCTGTTATGGGCTATGGTTAGGGGTAGGGTTAGGTCAAATAATGTCATCTTTGCATTAAAAATTACATAACTGAGCGAATGACACTTAATGACAGTTGTCATAAACATGCATAAAACCTCCTTCATATCCATGACATATGTCATGTCATGATTATTAAGGTGTCATGTCAGTCTTATGCACACCCCTTCAAGTAAAGTGTAACCCACAACACTTTTACAGACTTTTTGTTCATGATTAAAATATGACCGATTCATACAACATA